CTGATCAATCGTCTCCTCGATGGCTGGCCGGATGTCTGTGGTCAGAGAGGCATGTCTCCATCCAAGACCAGGGGTGATATGCAGCCAGGGTGGGCACCTCATATCTGGACAAATGGCAAAAGCATTCTCTTCAGCAAATTTCTTCAACGTTGGTGTTGCAGAGGTCAACTCTCCTAAGCAGTGGACAACTGTCACACGCATGCGCTCCAATGGTTGTACAACACTTCGTGAGAGCAAGTGTGGTGATTTCCGTGGAGCTAAGACAGCCTGGCGCACTCACTGGTTCCGGCCTGCAGGGTTGACCCTCGGGGGGATGGAAGCTCACTCAAGGCAAACTCAGCAGGTTGATGCACCCTTGAAAGAGACAATGCCCGAGCTGTTCCAAATTCCCCGCAACCAGGAGCCGAGACACTGTTTAGTAGTTTGCAGTCGCGAAAGGCATTGTCGGAAATGCGGACCACAGTGGCCGGCAATTTGACAATGCGAGCTGCCGACAATTTTGCCACGCCTCTGCCTCAATGAGCCTGATATACCTGACTCTACGCTGACATGCCGCATGCGCGGAACCCCTGCAAAAGCCCCTTCCGGGACGATTTCCTCCAGGTTCATGGGGACATGAACGTATGTCTGCGTGGCAATTTGCAGAAAGTCGATGGAGCACCCAAACACTTTTGGGTCAGTGACTGAGACCAGGTAGTCCATAACCTGGTCCTCTAGGTCCTCAAATCGATCAAACTTTGCCACACTGAGAGAAATCTTGATGGTCACCCCCAAGAGCGTTGTCAGTACCAAGGAGCAGTCCATGACCGGCTCCCTTTCAGGGGGAGTGCTAAGCCTGGATGAGTCGTCGAGCTCCATGCGTGGCAGACTACTTTCATTTACTGTTTGAGCCAAAAGCTTCTGACTCTACTCATTGACTGTTCCCAGGGCGGGGGATGTTTCCCAAAGACAGATGCCAAGGCATCCACCTTGAACCTCACATGGACTGGCCTGATGTTGAGAAAATTCGTTTTTTAGCTCTTCATCAAAGGCATCCGAATCGGGTCCTTCAGCCTGGAGCAGCTCCACCCACAGGGGTTTTTCAAATTTGTCACACATCAAGAAAGCATTGTGCTCTGCCTGCACACACTGTTCAATATCCCCCCAATCCAGGGGAGCAAATCGTTGCAGTTGCTCACACCCGCAGAAAGCACGAATGCCGATGTCGCTCTGCGAACGTTTATGCCCACACATGTTCTTGAACTGTAGTGAAGTGGATTTTGACTTCCCGGAGCGAGGCACAGCAAAGGAAAGCTTCCTTGCCAATGACTGAAATGGATGCGTCTCGGCCTGGTGCAGCTCGTCGCACTGGACGTGGCGGCAGTCCCAAAGGTGGAGGCTTTGGATCTTTTTTCTCTTCCTTCTTCTTTTCCTGGTTTGGAGGGTGGTCAATCCAGAAGACACCCCACGACAGAAACACTCCACGACAGAATGCACAAGTCCTGGTCGCGAACACACGCGGGACATCACTGGGGTTCAGGAAGAAAGCCATCCATGCTTCTGCAATCTGGAAGTAGCAGCAATCACTGCGTTCTCCCAGGCAAATGCTTGGTTGCGTTCACCATGCCAGCGCACCAGCGGAACCTGCAGAACGCATCTGCTGTTTCTGACGAGCAAGTGAATCAGCTGCATCATTCCATTCGGGAAGCTGCGACTCCGCAAAAGCATCAATCACTGCACTGCGATCCTGGAACTTTTTGTCCACAAGGTTCTTCACACTCGATTGCTTCCCCTTTTCTGTTGGTGCGCTGGGATGGTCAATTTCGCTCAGTCCGATTTTGATAGTCTTGTAGACGGCCAGTTGAGGTTGTTTGGATTTCAACTTCCTTTGAACGTGTGGGCGATCTCTGATTGTACTGCTGCTCTGGCCTTGGCTTTGAGAAGCAGGGAGGTTTGACTTTGTTTGCTGATGAGTGTTTTCAGCTGCGACACAGTCTCTCCAGTCAACAAATTCAGGTTTCTTCACAGTGGGCACCTGCGCATGGTCGGTGTGTGTGATCTCTGTGTGTGTTGTCTCTGTGCGTGTTGTCTCGGTGTGTGTGATCTCTGTGTGTGTGATCTCTGTGTGTGTTGTGTGTGTTGTGAAGCGAGGCCCCGTGGGCCATTAAGTGTCGCAAAGAAGTGGACAATCACCGATTGGAAAGTTGACGCGTCAAAACCTGCGCCAATACACCCCCCTTAGCCCCCAGGGAATTGTGAGGTCGTGAGTTGCGGTAGAGGTGAATGTCGCTGTCACAGTGGGATTGGCGTGTGAACGGGTGTTGCTGGACTGGCGAAACTGCTTGGCAAGGCGCGTGATGTGTGTGTGCGCGTGTGTGCTCCGAAGGGTGTTTCCGCTTGACTTTTTGGAGGAAGTCTCGCGCGAAATGCTCGTTTTGCAGACTTTGACATGTGAGTTTTGGGGGAAGTCTCGAACGAAGAGTGCCCAACAAAAGTGTCCCACAAGAGTCCTACAAGAGTCCCACAACGGTGAACACCAATCTCCGGCCCAATGGCTACACACGCGCACATTCCCCGAGAAAACAACGCCCAGCAGAGAACTATAAAGAAATTGGTTCTCCAACCGAGGTCCTCTGCCCACCAAGAACCAAATAACATCCAACAGACTACACAAAGCCAACCTTTTCACCCAAACCAACAAACGACAAGCAACCGACCAACCAAAACACTGGGCGTTGTTGTCACCATGCCAGAACAACCGGGTCGCGACGCAAGCGAAAATCTTGTCCATTGGCGGCCCCAAAATCAAGGACCAAAGACGCAATGGATTCCGGGGTCGCCAAAGTGGGCCTCCCCAGTTCAACAGCCATGGCGAGACCGGTTTTGCTAGGGTTTTTGGACCCCAAAAATGAAGGCTACAAATTCAACCGAAAACGCAATTCATCTTTGGATACGTCAATGGCCAAGCCCACGCCCAAGCATTTGTTAAGAATAGTTGAGCGCGAAGTACACTTGGAATGCCTTGGCGCAAGTGTGGAGCGCTGTTTGAAGAAGCGCTGGGACTACAATGTTAAGGTTGCGTTTCGTGGCTTTCTGTTGGTGTTTTCTTGGAAGTTCCTCACTCCGATCCAATTAAAACTTTGTAAAACGCAATCGGGGTGTCGGTACCGCGCATTGTAATAGAGGGCCCGAGCGGTACCAAGGTGGTACCGCGCATTGTAATGAGTCCGAGGCGTAATGAAGTGGTACCGAGGTGGTACCGCGCACTGTAATAGACGGTCCGACGCAACCCAGAGCTTGATTGTAACCGCAAGAACCCTATAAGCGCGGTGCAAGGGAAAATTTGAACGTTGACGCTAAGATGGAGCCGGACCCGGGCGCAAGCCTGGCGTAGCTTGCAAGAAACATACATAAAGGACGTGAGCTCAAAACCTCAACAACATCTTTTCAAAACCCCATCCTTCACAACATGCATCAAACAACAACGTCAAATGAAACGAAACAAGGCTTCCTTGCCATACTGAACGACCCGAGATGGCTCCTGCAAACATACGCAAACATGACAGGCTCCATGGCGCCAGACACCACAAATACGAAGAATGGGTTCGCAACGTTTGGTCTCAGGGCGCTAGGTCGACTTACGGCGGATGTCCACCACAAGCTTTGTAGCAAACAAAAATGCACCGAGCGCGCAAGTCCGCAATCAGACTGCCGAAAAAGCAGCTGACCATTGATCCGTAAGCTTGATTGCTTCCGATCAAGAACATCACACAGGCCAAACGCTTTCCCCCAAGCAATTCTCAAATCTCACAGGTTTCCCAAACTTTTTGCTCCTTCAAGGATCGAAAGAAGTGATTTTTCTGGACACCCCAGCAAAAACCGGTCTCGCCACAGAGGGACTCCCCAGTTCAAGAACATGTGACGGATACATGTTCGCAGGGTGTGGAGAACAAGTGCCGGCGCTGCAAAACATGGACACCCGGCGGTATGGACAACTTCTGTCGTGTACCTGCAGGAAACAATCGAAACTCTTGCTATTTTTCGCCAGGTGACCAAAATTTTGCCGACAAAACGGGGGCTGTTTTTGTCGGCCTGCCGGGCAAAATGGTGCAAGTTTCGATTGTTTCCGCAGGTACGCGACAGAAGTTTCGCGCACCGCTGCCACTGGGTTTCCATGGCTTCGCAGCGCGAGCAATTGTTCTCCACACCCTGCGAACGGAGGCCCACTTTGGTGACCCTGGAATCCACTGCGTTTCTGGCGCTTGGTTTTGTCAATGGACGCACCAAGGTGGTACCGCGCATTGGATGTTTTCGATCGCTGCTCATCGACTTGGCAACCCAGCGACAACAACTTAGTTGATGGGGAGCAGTGCACGTACGGCGTCCTAGCTTGGCGGATTTGCATATTCGCCACGCACCGGCAACTCGCGCAGGACGCGCAGGAGTCATAAGAAAGCGTTCAAAAAGGATAAAGAACAGTTCACACCCACGCTGGCATGTTGGTTTTGAAAGATTCTTGCGCGGACGGTTCTTGCGTGAACTTGCATTGCCAACAAGCAGTCAGTTTGGTCGCATTTCTTTTGGGATGTGGGGTGGCGTGTTGTGTGACCCATGGGAAATCAGCCGCGGATGCCGCTGGAACCATCGGGCGTTTTTTTTGGAGGGTAAAGAACACGCTGGTTTTCGAATGTTCCGTCACACATGCAGGCGGTTTTCATGGACTTTGAGAAGGAACATCCGTCGAAACGTTTCGATCATTTTCCGAAGACCAAACTAAGTGGTTTTGGGGGCTCATGTGTTCCTCTGCAGGGTCCCTGAAATCTCTAGTTCGCGTCGTTTTTTTTGCCACACGAACTTCCGCCAGGTGAGGTTTGCTAGTTTGGGCTCAGCATGGGAGTCACATGGGAAAGGCACTCATTTACACATATTTAATGCAAGATGTAGACAAGACGATGTTTCTGGCATTTTTGGTGCGCCAGACCAAAGCAGCTGAGATGATGCCATTTTAGACTGTATTCGAAGGTGAATCGGTTCCTTTTTGGTGAAAGAGCTAGAGAGAGCTCCTGCGTTGTGGGCAACAATGAGCGGGCCTTGCCCTCGGGAGATTGACTGCAAGCGGGGAAAACATGCCAATCAAGTTTTTTGATCAACATTCTCCTTAGGTGAGGTTTCAAACCTGTTCCAAAGCGTTGGCTGAAACTACACAAGAGGGCGTTCTTAATCTCGCTGTTTTGTTGAAAAGAGGTCTCTTCAATTGTTGATCTTGAGGTTCATATTTTTAACATCTATTTTAACTAGCTGTTATACGAGATATGTCAGATCATCCTTGAGGTACGCCTCTCGCACCGAAATCCAACAACTGGAAGCGCGGCTGCTTCAAGCAGAGAAGGCCTTGACGACAAGACGCCACATGCAACAACATGAGTGACTTCGCGTGCCGACTGCCCTGCAGGAACTGCAGATACAAGGCCAAAACATGCAGCTTCTTCAGGCCGATTTGGGTTCTTCGTAGATGTTCTGACACCTTTTTGATGGCCTTGGGACCAAAGTATGGCCAGCAGTTGGCCTTTGGCTGATAGGCACAATTGGAGACATTGCTGGGGCCACAGCGTCAAGCTTAGAGTCTGCTCGAGCAGACAAGAAGATAGCTGTTCAGGTGAGTCAATACTATCAACAGGATGAGTTGTCAAAGTTGAGTTCTGGTTTGGGGTGCTTTGCCAGAGGATTTTTGTCGGCTGTTTCAGGCAAGGTCTTTACCAGACAGCTGTGACCACTCCAGGCGGAATCTGCTGGTCGAGACGGGCTCCCCTGGCTCCCCCGGGCTGCCCCGCTAGTAGGTTGGAGGCCGTGACTGTTAGAAACAAAAAAACGACAGAAAGATCTATTTAGTTTGTTATTAGGTTGGAAGCCATCGCTAGTGGGTTGGAGGCCGTTGCTAGTAGAAACAAAGAAAACGTTGAAAGGTCTGATATAGTTTGCTATTAGGTTGGAGGCCATCGCTAGTGGGTTGGAGGCCATCGCCAGTAGGTTGGAGGCCATCGCTAGTGGAAACAAAGGAAAGGAAGAAAGGTCTAAAATCCATTCTATTGGGTTGGAGGCCATCGCTATAGTAGGATGGACGCCATCGCTGTCAGGTTGGAGGGTGTTGCTATCTGAAACAAAGCAAAGGAAGAAAGGTCTAATATAGTTTGCTATTAGGTTGGAGGCCATCACTATCAGATTGGAGGCCGTTGCTATTAGAAACAAAGGAAAGAAGAAAGGTCTAATATAGTTAAATATAGTTTGCTATTGGGTTATCAGGTTGGAGGCCGTTGCCAATAGAAACAAAGGAAAGGAAGAAAGGTCTATATAGTTTGCTGTTAGGTTGGAGGCCATCGCTAGTAGGTTGGAGGCCATCGCTTCAGGTTGGAGGCCGTTGCTATTGGAAACAAATGAAAGGAAGAAGGTCTAATATAGTTTGCTATTGGGTTGGAGGCCATGGCTAGTAGGTTGGAGG